TTAGCCGACAGCCTCATTATGGCTTGCGGTGGTTTGCTACCACTTTTGGCGTCAGCGACATCTCCCAATGTTAGTGTTTATTATTTTTTCTTCTGTGCCATTTGCTATTTATTTTTGCTGCGCATTTTCTCGCAGTTTGTCTTTTTCATGTAAACTTATGTGGCATTTCAATTTTTATGTTCCTTTTTGCCCTGCGTCTTTGTCTCGAGTATTTTTAAAGTCTTTTGCAAAAAAGGAATTGTGAGAAATAAATTTGTGAATTTAGAGCGAACTTGAAATTGTGGACGCTTGCCAACAAGAGCTGCCCATAGACTGTGCGGCAACCCTCCTCTCCAGATTTGTACAACTTGCCGATGTTTTCATTTTTGCCAGTGGAGTATCATTCACTGAGCTGGAGCAGGTAGCGTGTTCAGTCCTCCTACAACAAGGGGTTGATTGGTTTTTTAGGAGAAGAATATGCCATCAGGAGGAGTTCTACGTCAGTCTTTGCGTCTCATTGCTACAGCATCTGTCAGACATATCCTGACAGCTCGAGTGTTACGTCCTGACAGCAGTGGACATGCTTTTGAGCCACATGCTAACCCGAAAAATGAAGCAATCTATGAGTTTGTTAGGGGAGCCATAGAATCGGTAAGAGCCCGGCTTGATGTGCCAACTTTTATCAGAACAGTTAGCTTTACAGCAAGCCAAAGAAGGGATAACGGATTTGGATCATCTCTTGCAAGATGTAGATTTACAGCGAATTAAAGGAGTTGTATATCGGGACATGGTGGTGAGGGGCTGACACTTGTTTTCCCCTTTATTTTATGTTTTTATTGTTTCCAGGAAGAGAACCGTCAAGCACAGTTTCTTGCCTTGGCAGTGGTTTACCTGCTTTCAGTACTTATGGTATCTCGGTACAGAGATATACTAGAGCCACCCGTGACTCCAAGCCCGTTCTTCAACTCGACAAATGGTGGTCGGTTTTTGTGCTTTTATGTTGTTTGGTATCCTCAATTTGTTTTCGTTTACTTACGAGACTGGAATAATTTTTTCTGTTTCGTACACCGTATACTAAAATAGAGATATGCAGAAGGGTAAGTTTACTAACACAGTCTGCTCGTGATGATACTCACTTCCATAAACAAGCTAATAATTTGGCTGAAAAATAATTCAGTTCTGGCACACAAATTTTTATGAAATCTGCTCTTCGTATTTTTCAAGAAAAAGTAGTTCAAAGCTTCACATATCAATTACTCAAAAATTCTTTTGTCAATAAAGAACTGTTATGTTCCAAGTGACTAAATTTTCAAAATCTCGGTTCTTTGACTTTCTCAGTTTTATTCATGCTACGGAAAAGTTTTTATCCACATTTGTGCATAATGAAAAATATCGATACTT